AACTCGAGCAGACCGAGGTGACAGTCCACAGCGGCGGCAGTCCCACTACAAAATGGCTGCGATCAGAGAGATATGGGAGATAGACATCAAAGGTCACAAATAAACCCTGTCAGAGGTGAAAACTCTCCACAAGTACAGACCGTACTTGACCACTCTCCTTTGTGGAGCAGCTGGCTGAGAGGAAGAGTCTCACCTTGGGTTTTGGCAAGAGAGACAGCCTTTGTTAATTTTTAATGCATTTGGAAACTAGTAATTAAGTCCCCCCCCCCCAATGGACTGGGAAATTGACATGCTCTGGAGAGCCAGTGAGTAATTATATTTGTAAAGAGCAGTGATACAAGATACTCCCCTCTGACTGGGACTCATTACACATCATTAGAGAGGCGCGGCAACTAGGCACATGCACGTGCACCGCTGGCACGGACCGCACACACCCCGACATGCACGTGGGCAGACAAGTCACACACTTTGAGCCCCACACAATGCACATTGTCCAGCACAAAGAGTGTTTCTCTTTGGGAGACACACTCTGCTCTTCAGGTCCCTGACCTGAGCAGAGCGTGACGAGTCCTGACAGGACAGTCAGGCGGCGTGAAACTGTGTTCTCCATATCTCATCTGGTGATAATCATACTGCGGTGGGTCAATACATAATTAAAGATTAAATCTGAAATGAATTTTCATTCATCTAAATAGTGAAAGGTTGAGATATGAAAGTTTCCAAATGGAGCCTCTGGAGGATTGTGGTCCACCCTTTGAAGCAATAATTACCATTACAGCAGCGTAGGGCTAAGAGCTGCAGGGGGATGATAGAACAGCACTAGAAACTTAGTGGACTCCTCTTTAATTGGAACAGGAGTGGCTGCGACTCGACACATCACAGTCTCCAAATGGAATTTGTACAACTCCAACTCCATGCGTTCTTTTTTTTCTTCAGTATTTCTCCCCTCTCCTCCTCTGTCTATTTCTTTTTTCCCCTCTGTGTGTATTCTCAGTTTGTGTTTCACTGTAGGATCTGCAGCTGCTGTGCACATATTATAAAACCACGCTGAAATATAGATTAAATCCACTGCGGGCTGTCTTTTTGGAAAACACCAAACAAATGCTAAATCTATATTTTATAACACACTGAGCACCATCTTTCAATAATTTTGCTCCATTTGAGGGAAATGTTGAAAAGCTCTATATAAATGGAAATAGTGTTACTGCAAAAATGGTATGACGAGAATGAAATTAATGCATCAGATAAATGAAACATTCATCACTGACATTTACGGAGGTTTGGTGCTGTCCAATTTGTTGAAATTTGCTGGTGAAAATGTTTTTCTTTCTCCACATTAAAAATGCTTTCAGCACAGATTTGTTAGTGAGGGTTGTTGTTGCCTAATGGTTTAGGCCTATTGTTTCAGTGAAATGAGTTAAATATTCAGATTGTTGTGTGTATTTCAAAGGTGTTTACTGCATTATTAATGCCATATTCAGATTGCCCAGGGACGGTGGGAGAGCTATATTAGTGTCAGAAAGCGTAGTTTGAGTTGCCTTGTCTGCTTTCACTTTAAACTCATTATCTTGTCTAATTCTCTCTGCCTCCATTATTCCCTCATCCCTTTAAGCAGCCTAATTAAAAGGGCTTTCATTTTTTCATTAATATTTATTTATTTATTCTGCATTTCTACATGAAACTGCTTCACCCTGCGTAGAATCTAAATTAAAGTTTTTTCATTATTAAAATGAAGGGTTTCCTGCTGCATAGCACTTGAGATGAATCCACAGAAGAAGAGGAAAAACTGGAGTATTTTCTCTCATCTTGCTGTCAGATGACCCGATATTACACTGCAAGTGTACGGCTTTCAACGATGACTGCAGCGGCTAATGTACAGTGTCCAATACAAACAGTTAATCTACTCCACTTAATGCTGTTTAGACTAGATTAATGCGGAAACTGTTAGCTACACCCATATTCAATAAAATACTGCAAACAAAAATAAAATGAAGACATGTAATCACAATTACTCACGTTCTAAGGACTGCAATTCACACTTTATGACTGAAAATCTTCAGACAGCTTAGTGTTAATTGGCCCATCATGGTCTGATTTCTCTCTGGCTTTGGTTTTATTTGGTTTATATGAGTGTGTCTGTAATAACAGTTTAAAGCCGTACCACGGGGAGATTATCAGACCATGCTACAGCGATGGACATTATCGCTCAACTACATGCATCACTTCGTTTCTGCTCATTTCTCTGAATGGCTGCTGGGGAGCTCACCAAGAGAGCCGCTTTGTGAACTGTATTTGTGGGTACATGTGTGCATGTGTTTCAGTGTGTGTGTGTGTGTGTGTGTGTGTGTGTGTGTGTGTGTTTGTGCATGTGAGCAAACCGCATGCGTATGTGTGGTTTGTTTTTGCTTGTGTGTCACTGTCTGCGCTCAAAGTGTGTTTATGTGTGTGCCTGAATACTAGCATGTGCGTGAGCGTGCGCATGCTCAGAGTATACACATGTGGTGTTTGAGGGCGTGTGTGCATGCATGTAGAATGACATTTAGCGAAATGTGGCAGCGAGAGAAGAAACATCTGACTCATAATTGAAGTGCCATGAAAGAAATATGATCATGAATCTGTATTAGGCTTACGTGCTCAGCTTTAAACCAGCTGCAGGAGCACGAGGCAGCATGCCCAGCCAGCACTCCGACTACCTTACCACCCTGAAGGCTGATTACAACGCTCAGAATGATACTCCACAAAAATGACAGAGGAAAACACAGCGCATTCAAGGCGAGCAATCCTGATGACAAAATCGATAGGCCGTAGCGCTCTCATCTCCATCAAAACGAGAATCTCAGGATGAATGTGGTAGTGCCTCCGTGATTCAACCACACCAGTCATCTAAGTGTCCTGAAGGATAAAGCAGCACCAATCCTCCGTCACCCTCCTGCTCTTGACATGTAGAGCTCCGTGAGCAGCAAGGTGAGGCAGACTGCTCTTTTAAGGATAAGGCTGGGGATGTTCTATGTTTTTTTTTTGCTATCAACAGAAGCCATGAAAAGACCAACCAAAGCCTGTTATACTGTATATATTTAGCTCAGTGGTCCCAAATCTTTTTGACCTTGTAAAACAAAGCCATGTGAATTCATGACACCTCATCACCGTTTGTGTTTGACACTGAGCCGTGAGCAGAGAGATTTCTCCCTCTCAATTGGTTTCATTCGAATACACTGAACCTGCTTGAACAGGTAAAACTATCTAATATATAACAAGAGAAACAATTTTCTCTGATTTATCGAATGACCTCCTGGGGGATACACGTAGCTCATTCCTCAGAGCCATTGACCTCCTTTGTTTCTTTGTAAAGAACATTTAAAGCGGGGTGACATGCTCCTTGATTATGATTAGTGTGGTTGCTGTAGTTTATAAAGTTTCCATGCTGCATACACCATCCTGCTGCATTAAATGCTCCCTAGATCACCAAATGTGTGTTAAAGCGACTTTTAAAATAAAAAAATATAGCACATTCATTCTTTAAGTAATGAAAACTAAATTGAATTCATTAAAAAAAATGAGAAACTCAAATCAGTAATACACTCAGTGGTTTTGCAGCTATATGCTTACTTGTTCTGTTATGACCATTAGCTCACGGCGGCTAATTCGAGCTAATGTCAGCAAACTTTGGATAGGTATTGCTCTGTAATTCACATTACTGAGTCGGTTTGCTGACTTCATGACATCGCTCTACTTGTTCTGCTCTTACACAAAATTTTAGGTTTTACCATTATTATGTACTTGTGACCACAGATGCTGCTGTTCAACAAATGTTACATAATCTACGCCTGAAAGTAGTTCCTGACAAAATGTAGTTCCTATGTTGCCATTGCAACATAGGACTCTGGTCCACATACAGTAACCACACCAGGGCAGCTGTAATATTTACCCTACTTTGAGCAATATTTCCAAAAACTACAGTGCCTGTCTGTTTTAGGAAATTACTTGAGCTTTTAAAAAACAAATTAAACTGTATTTACAGTATGTCTTCAGGTGGGATCAATGGCCTTCAGGCTGAATGCCACAGACAGGAAAGGTTAGTCAGAAAGTATTGAGAAGCACTCTTAAAAACAGTTGCTTTTGGTCTTGTCTTGGGATTTTTTTTTTGACAGCAAGAAACATGCAGAATAACCCCAAAACTTTTCTTTTATGTTAACAGCTACCAACGATTCTGATGGAAACAAATGAAAACAAATGCAAACAACGAGATGGAAATTTCATTTTATATTCAAAGGGTTTGTAGTTGGTACACAACCACTCTAAATGTAAAAAAATGTGTGAGGAGGGAAATCGGCTGTGTCAGAGAGATGGATGGAAAAGGTACAAAGCTTGGGTAGTGTGCTAACAAACTCCATTTTGTATTGCTGCAGCTGTTTCCATGGAGCTCGCTCTCTCTCTCTTTCGCTCTCTCTCTCTCTCTGTCTCTGCCTCTTGACTCCCCCTCTCTCTCCCTCTCTCTCCCTCTCTCTCTCTCTCTCTCTCTCTCACACACACACACACACACACACACACACAAGTGTCTGAAAGAGGATTCAGCTGTGTGAGTCAATCTGCAACCAACCGCAACTCTGAGAGAGAACCCCTCGTTCTCTCTAACAGACTCTTCTCCTCTCCTCCATCTCTCCAGCATCACGCCCATCTCATCATTTTTTTTTCAACCTCATTACAATAATTTCTTAATTTATTCTAAACCCCAGTCACAACAACAAACCCACATTCAGCACACTCAATTACTGTGATTCTGATACACGAGCACCACATCAACAAGGAGCACAGGAACCAGTCCATGTATTTACAGTGCTGTGTTTTTTCCTCTGCCTTATTTGGAGTGCATGTGGCAATCAGCAGTGCTCATTACACCTAGCTGCCCTACAAAGATGCCCCAGAAAAATGTCCTTGAAGGAGGAGGTGAAGGAAAAAAAAAAAAAAAAAAAAAAAAGAGAGAGAGAGGAAAAGATGCTTACCGAGGACTCCGACACGGTAGTTGAGAGTGATAACGATGACATTTCCGTAGCTGGCCAGGACGCTCCCATCGATCATGTTGCCCGTCCCCTCCATGTAGGATCCTCCGTGGATGTAGACCATCACGGGCTTGGCACCAGTATCTCGTATGTCTGCAAGAGCGGCCATCATTAACACATTCACATTGTCGTCCACCCACTCCGATCAAGGGTTCAGCTCAGATTCAGATACAGCAGATACAGCACATGGTGGCCACAAACAGACAAGCTGACGGTCACCTCTCAGATACCAGCTGTAAGGATGCAGTCTGCTGGCCTACTAATGGAAATGGAAGCGATATTCTATCACATCTGCTCTATGAGAAACAAATTAATGTCCACTCATGATGTAGAGTTCAACTCTATTATAATAATTGGCCATCTCAGCTGAAAATGTTGCTTGTCATTTACCTCATATAAACCAAACTATTAGGGTTGTATTTGAGTTTGTGCTGCCTTCCAGGAGGCAGACCCACTTCCCAATATAGACACGCAGGAGGCCATTAGAGAGAATAAAGAGAGAGGTACTCTGACACATCTCCTAACCAGGGAGAAGGCTAATCTGTCTTGACAGTGATAGGGAAAACGCATCGGCTAATTACACAATGCTACCATGCGCCTCCTTTTTACACAGGCCTATCTCTCTGCAACAATTTATTTGCACTGTCTTTCTTGGCATTGCAGGCAGTTAAATTTGTGCTTCAGTTTTGGTAAAATGTTGTTTATTTTATTCCCGAACCAGGACTTGATACCCAGCTGGAGCGACACTCCAGCCAGATAAAGCACATCCAGAGGTAGAGGGAAGAAAAAAGCCTCTGTCTGAGGAATAGACTGAATTACTGACTGGCTAGCTAGAGCTGGGAGACAAGACAAGAAACTCTCTCTCATTTTCACTCCTGCTCCCCCCGCGTTCTGTGTAGCTTCACGCCTTCCCCTCCCTCACTTTGTATCGCTTTCACTCACAGACTCTCCCCTGTCTCTCCCTGTTTCTCTCCCGCCTTCCCTCCATCTCTGTCCAACCCCCCCCCCCCCCCCCCCCCCAGCCCTGAAGAAATGGTGAGATGAAGAGGAGAGGGGGTGGGAGGGCAAAGAGTGAGGAAGACAGAGGGAGAGAGACACAAAGACAGACAGGAAGGACGGAGGGAGGGAGGGAAGAAAGACGGAAAGAAAGGAAGAAAATAAAAAGGGAAGAAAGGAATAAAGACATAAAAAGAAAGAGAAAGAAAAAAAGGAGAAAGCAATGGGCTCAGATTTAAAAGGGTAGTATTGTATTCTGGTTGCTATGGTGACTGAGAGCCAAAATTTAAAATCCTCAAGAACAGCTAATCGCAGACCACATCCTGCACAGCCCAATCTGCATCCATCTGCAGGCACTGCTCATCGTTATGCACCCCATCACATTAGCATGCTCAACACCGAGGACAACTACTTAAATGCATTTTGTAGAGACACGGTTTTTCTGTAACCCCTATAGCAGAGCTCAGCCTTGATTCACAGTTTTTTTTTTCATTATTCCCTTGGTTATTCATGGCCCCGTTAACGTTTAAAAGCAAAGCAATAACTTGTATATGAGGTGGCCTTATTTATGGCTTTCTTTATCTTGCTGGTATCTGAGAAGGCTACACAGTGAAATGTGATTTATAGCTGACACTTCTCTATGCACACACTTATCGTAGACAAGAGGAGGAGGGGATGCATGGGGTGAGAAAGCATGAAAGGTACAGTCAGAGAAGGAAAAAGGTGTGGGGAGGAAGGAGGGTGGTGGGGGGGAGTGGGTGGGTGGGGGGGGGGTGGGTGAAGGGATAAGAACAGCAAAAAACGATATCCTTCACAAGCTCCTCAAACAAATGGGCCACAGATACAAAGAGAATGGAAAAGAGGAAGAAGGAACAGAGGGGGGCAGAAATAAGAAAAAGAGATTAGTCATGTCAATGTTATCAGTCACCTCTTTTGTTGATTCACATCGTGTCTCCATGACAACAGTTAAATCCCTTTGGGAGAGCAATACAAGACATTGAAGCTCCACTTGTCCTAATCTATTTATTGACTTGATCTGATGTGGGAGGTGTCACACAGATGTGATATACAGTTCTCACTGACGCTGATTTGTGTCAGAGGAAAATATGCATGCAGCCGATCCCAATTGGACTTTGGATTACGGTGAGACATAATAATCCTGTCTGGATACATCCACATCTGGGTCTGCAGCATGGCATGACTTGGAGGTAATGAGGTGAGTAGATTTCTTAACCAATCAGATCAGAGCTTTATCAGTTGCCGCGGACGGACTAATCTGGTGAAACAGGTGACTAAGTGGCTACCTCGGAGAGCTGCTTCCTGATTCACTACTTCTCCGAGGCAAACATATTGTTACATCAACACACATGTTCATAGCATCAAAATGTAGCACAGAGCCCTGTGCTAGAAAAGAAACAGAGACATGTTTATTAATGCACATACAAGTATATTTGCAATAGAATTCCATGCACAATGAGCTGAAAATTAAAAAAAAAAGACAAATAAACTCATGTTTTGGAGATGAACAAAAAAAATGAAATGTAGACGGAGGGTGATGTGCAATGAAGAGTGAGCTGAACAGAAACATAATTTATGCACAGCAGCACATCGTTTTGTCACAAATTTCTCTCACCCAGACAAGTGAGAACTTGCAGCATCTACTACACAGCGACATACACTCACACACTCCCAGCACATACTCTACAAACAGCAAATAATTGCATCACAGTAGAGAAAATAAATTGAAAATTGCCCATAAATGAATAAATAAATCAAAGCTTTCCAGTTCAGTGCACTTTGCTCCAGCTAAATAGAAGGGCTGGAGACAGTCACACCTACAAATACATCACAGGGCATGAGTTTTACCAGGACCTGAGGAGCACAACCTCTCATAGGTGCATCACAGTGGCTCTGGACTGATTGGAGTATCAGTGGGAGGCATAACTCAGGCCCTGAGCTGAGCCTCTAAGTGTTGCTGCTGCAAGTGAAACCCACCAGGAGGGCTAGGAGCACTCTTTCCTTCCTCCTCTATCTTATTTTCTCCCTCAACCTGTACTTCCACCTTTTTGTCCTTTGCCTCTCACTCCAGTGAAAACAGTCAGTCATATATCTGACGTTAAGCGCCCCGAGAACCAGCCTTGACACACCACAGTATAGGACAGGACAAAGGCGAGTGGAGATAAGTGTCGGTGGCATTCACTGTGTCAACACTTGGTGAAACATGGTGGCTGTCAGCGGCTATCAGTGAGGTCTGAGGTTGGGAGGGGAATGGGTGACAATGTCCTGATGTGGCAGGACATGACATGCACCCTACTGTAGCGCTCTTGTCAGGCCAAGCTTCACGGTTCACTCATGACAAGTCCATTACTGGCCATGTTCATATTTGAGAACTGCATATAGTTTATCAGGGGAGCTCTTTTGCTAAACAGGCAGTCTAATTACACCGAATTATACAGCGGCTTGTGCCGTTGTACAAGTCAGTGAATGTCACTGAACGTCTGCTTAATATTCCCTTTATATGGAAAATAAATGAACTAGCACTGTGTGTGACTAGGCCTTTGAGGGGGAAAAAGGCTGACGTGAAGGAAGACACAGTAAGAAATTTCCTATTTGGACTCACTGACGACAGTGGAAGGAGGACCATGAAAAAAAAAAATAAATAAAAAAGTTGTGGCATAGCTATTTTAAACCAGTGGACTTTCAGAGCCTGCACGTCATCAGGAGTGATGGGATGGGCAGGAAAAGTCAGCCTCCACGTTGTTCTCCACAACACTTGACATTTATGAGAATAACTGAGACATGTCTTCATGTTTATAAAGAAAATCCGAACACAGCACTGGGTATATGAAAAGAAGTATTTGTGCCTCTACTTTGAATCTTGACATCGCTACAGTAAATGTAATGGGAGGAATGACCTTTACGTGAAGGTGACTTCTTGCTCCCCCCCTCTGTGGTGTGTTTGTGTGTTAAATATGATGCTTGAAACTGGGCAGAAAGAGAGTGGTGTATGTGTGTGTGTGTGTGTGTGTGTATACATAAGAGGATCGAGAGAAAAGAGAGAAGGGTATAGACGCTAGATGAGCAAAAACAAAAGCAGAAGATGCTTACAAGGCTATTAGCCCCCTACAGCTGGCCTGGACCTGGATGAGAGGAGGAAGCTCTAGAGGTGCTGTCATCCTTAAGACTCACAAAAAAGCTGTTTGCTCCCTGAGTGAAGGGGGACTAACCCTTCTTTAGAGGAAGTCTGCCGTCCTTGGTGCCAGCCACAAAAGCTGATGACATACTGTACAAACGCAATGAATGGTTGACGACAGCACACCAATAAACACATTAAAGAATAGCACACAGCTAAAAAAAAAAAAACAGCAGACGTGCTGTGGCATTGCATAAGGAAAGGGTCAAAAGTGCCTCACTGAACTAATTCAAAGCTCCCCTCTCTGTTCCATTCAAGCAGTATGTTTTTGCATGTTTTTGCCTTGCCAATTATTTCGTGCCACTCAAGAGTAGAGGAGAGGAGCAAAAAAAATAAAAAAAGATGACAGGAGCAGTCAGGCTCCCCCATCCTCTGAAATGTCTCAAATGGTGCCCTTGTAGATCAGCCATTAGCAGCAATGCTTATCTTGGAAAGAAGCTGAGCAGCAGCATTCCAAATATCCCTACGTAAATGGGCTTCGAGGGGCATGATTCCTCATCCCTGCCACATCAGAGAGAATAGGATAGTGGCAGAATGGAGAGAATGGTGTGTGAATTGCCCCCACTGTCGATTCACCACTCTCCAGGCTGCCTGAGCTGAGCTGAGGGCTTTGCTGGATGGGGATCCAGTCAGGCCTCTGCAATGGAATTAATGGTAATACCCAGGCAGGTGGAGCTCAGCTCTGCTCCCTGGCACAGCAACGATGGAGAGCTTCTCTCAGGGTGGGGGTGTGTGGGGGTGTGTGTGTGTGTGTGTGTGTGTGTGTGTGCGCGTGTGTTGTCTTCTTCAGTGCTTGCTTCTAGAGCTTGGAAGCGAGCATTGTTTACGTGTACAAGTGTGTGCATTTGTGCATGCTTGACTGATTTAATAGATGTGGGTGTACATGTCTGAGTGTGTGCACACTCACGCTGGGTGGAAGCATTCCTCCTGATTAGAGCTAGTCTCAAAGTGCCAAATGACAGACACAGACACACACACACACACACACACACACACACACACACACACACACACACACACACACACACACACACACACACACACACACACATCTATTTTTCATCAGTGGAAGAGGGCCGAGGCAGCAGTGGCGCGAGACACTCTAGAGGTGGAGTGGAGATGGCTGCCTCTCTCTGCCTAACACTGGGCACAGTAGCTCAGCGCCGCTGCCATGTTCCACCTGGGAGATTTAGCTCCTACACAGCTTCACTTCCTCTATTTACATGCCCACCTTTATCTAACAACAGCAGGTAGGTGATTGAAAGCTTGCGCTCCCTTTTACAGTGCAATAACAGCGTCTGTAAAATTGAGTCTTGATTGTGGGCCGATGTAAATCACAGCAAGTTGGCCCGCACACTCCTGTTGCTGGAGGGAGTGTTGCATAGAATTTGAATGTACTTTCGGGGTGCCAGGGGCTTGACTGTTGCTCAGACAGACAGGTGGACGCACAAAGGGAAAGACAGCTAGACACAGGGAGAGACAAATAGAGAGAAAGGCAGAGAGGGAGAGCCTCAGGGACAGCCAGCGGACAGAAAGAGATATACAGTATAAAAAGGTCATTATAGTCTCATTATATATTTCATTTTGCTTATCTCCTCGTCTCGGTTGAATGTTTTTATTGGCTGTTCCACTGCCTTTTTTAATGTAAATTTAAATATTACTATTCCATTACATATGTTACATACATTTCTCTGGCAATGTGAGAAATCCTTTATTGTTCCAATAAAACTTATTTGAATTAGAATTTAAGAGCGTGTCTGGAGGGTTACAACAGGGAGGGAGGCAGCTCAAATATGGTGGAGGGAGGGAGGGAATTAGCCCAGGATAGACAGACTGCCAACTGAGACAGCATGGTAATGCTGGGATGAACAGACTGAGAGATGGAGGGGGTTAGACAGAGAAACCAGACAAGGCAGCCGCTCTCTGAACTGAATGAGAATGTGTGGATAAGAGGTGAATCAGCTAAAGACTGAGAGAGTGGGAGTTCTGCTTGTGTTCTGATTCTACTCGACCTTTAACTTTAAACAAGAACGTTTGATTTTCACTGGCAATACATGTACACAAGGAGATATATTGTTAACAACATTAGTACAGACACTTGTGAGAGCAGTAATAGGTAAGAGAGCTTGTGCAGTCTACGTTGCCATCTTTCTGTGAGGAAAGTCTTGTCTTCACAGAGGTAGCAGTTCTTCTTGGGGGGAAATAAGAGAAAAACAGAGGGACGTCTCTGAACATTGGTTGTATATATCAGGCTGTGAAAGTTCAAAACAGACACATTCACTGGAACAATGAAAATCTTCTGGATCATGTTTAGGGATTGATGGCCAACGCTGTCACACATGCATTAGTTACAGTGCTGTGGCAGAGATTCTGCTGGGACCGTATTGTGCTTCTACGGTGATGCTCTGTAAATAGCATTAGTTGCGCTCAGTAAAGAATAGACTTGTCACATTTTCAGTAAGGCTAGTCTTGCACAACAGCTTGGAGACCAAGCCACTGTGTACGCATTGCAAAGACTTGCCAGACAAAGGGATTGGCACTTGTCAGCAATTCTGAACAGACTTAGGGCTACATACACTGACACATGTGGGCTAGCTTGAAGGAAGACAAACATATACGTGTGTGCACATATACACACAGTCAAGCTGAAGACTGAAGGCAATTTGGCTCCAGTTGCAACAGCTCGCCCTGGGCTTGAATAAGGAAACACCTGCGTGTGTCAAAGCGGTGCTATGGCAACGCTTCCTGTTCTGTGATCAAGGCCAGCACGAGGCTTCTTTTCGAGAGACAAGCCCACTGGCAAACAGGAAGGATCTTCCCTACAAACCCTTAAACATCTGGAAAGAACAACTGGCCAGCCGGCCTCAGCTTGGTTTAAAACCCAACGCAGGACCTGCCGCAACGCAGCCGTTCACTGTGCCAACATTCAAGACAAATAAGTGAAAGGATATGGCAATTTAGTGTGACATCTCAGTTTTCCTGCCAAATACAAGGTCCATATGCCCTGAACATGTGCTAAGGTCCCCAACTGTTTCGTTCCAGACATACAGTTAAATCATGTTCACCAAATGCACAGATAATAAGCAAAAAATCAATTTGTCCATAGCAAACAAATGGTGTATAAATCCATGGCTTTACCTTGATACCCAACATCATGCTTGCATCACCTGCCCTGTAGTGTTGAAGGAAGACAAGGGCAGGGCGATATCAGGGGTTTGATTTAGATTCAAAGACTTAAGCCGTTTCTGTTGCAGCACAAGAATCGTCTCTCATTCTAATCTCGGCAGAGATCCACCCTGAGCCAGGAATATCCCAAGATAAATATGGAAAGTGAACAATGTGATTGCTGAGCAGCAACTTCCCATTTTCTACACCTCTCGCCTCTAATCCTCTCCAGCAGCACTCCTGAACTGCCGCTCCTCATCTAAATCTGCTGGCAGACCTGGTGAACAGTCTGATATTACACTGCTGCTTCACTTTCCCTCTGCTATTATCGCCACCAATACAGCTGCTGGCCACACCTTAAGAAGGGGCTCTCACAACTGCTTCTGCCCTTGTAATAACAGCCGCTCCAGTCACTGCGTGAGATATTAAAATGACCCAGCCCGGGCTTTGTTATCTAGACAGCTCCGAGATCCCATCTGACTCCTGAGCCAAACACTCTACTCATCGCTTGAATTTCGATGCTTGGGAACGGGAGGCCTCACATTCACTCACACACACTCTACATGGGACCAAAGACAACATTGTCCCACACATTGTAACGTGACAGGGGTGCTTGATGATTGCATTTGCAATTAGGAAAAAAAAAAAAGAAACTAAATCAAACAAAAATCATAAATGATCAGAAATCAGTGACATTTTTAGAAAAAAATAAACAAATCATGCACCATCTTTGTTCACCATTGAAAGTACCTTCATCTTCATCACCGTCGTTATCCGATAAATCCTCGCCCTGTTTTTTTGCATGGGCCCCTGTTATTGAAGCAGGGAGAGACATAGAGAGGCACAGGGAAATTCAAAATAGCATGTTTGGCAACACAGAGATGGGAAAAGAGGAAATTCAAGAAAAAGCATCATTTGATACCAAATGTGAATAATAACAATGTTAATTTAAATGCATCATTCACATTTAAAAAAAAAAAAGATATTTACAAAGGGACATCCAACAAGAGAAAAATAAACATTTTAAATAATGTACAAACACTACACTGTGTAACAAAAATCAAAACACACCTTGCAGAAGGCAAATTCAACAAAACTCCATTGTTATCATAGTATACCTGGAGCAGAGTCATACACCACTGGCATTTTCAGATGAAAAAAAACCTTTAGATTTATCAGGAAACTCTGAATTTGAACCTATACATTTGGGAAACAATAGCTTAAAGGATAACTGCAGAAAAGAACAGCTACTGAACAGCATATGATTCAGATTCTTTTGATCGTATTTTGGAAACGACTTTTTGAGAAGAGGTTTTACAGTGTTTGAACAAGACTTTAGTGACTTTCTGCTCTGCACCTGACGTCAATTTCTAAGACAGACCATAAAAAGGCATATAAAAACATATTAACAGAAAATGTGTTTACTCGCAAGGTGAAGAATATAAAAATCAGGATGCAGAAAACTGTCGAAAGCACAGGTTTTAAACTACAAGCAAAAGCATGTGCACAACTGCAACCTCCCTAGAGGTGGTGAGATTTGAATAAATCACCAAACTGCGTGTATCATGTACACTCAGTGATGTGTGCAGTTACTTCGGCTTGCCTCTTTGCCCTAAACAGTAGGTAATGTGGTGTTGCCCTTGTGCTACTCGTTAATATGAAAATCTAGCCCCCCCAGGGCAGCTACACACCGTGTACAAATAGCGTACAAGCCCCATCTTGACCTACCACTTACACAGTGTTATTCTAAACTGGTGTGAGTTTGATATCCATGTCCGATCATTTTTGTTGCCCACCAGCAGCAGGCCCTAAGGCCATCAACGATGGTTACTTAATTGGTCTGTCCATCAGTCCATCCATTCAGTAGTAAATCATATTCTGACAAGATTTTACAGAGATATGATGTTTTTTTTGGAGAATTTCACAGTTTCGGTGATACCCAGACCTTTCATATAGCGCCGCTGTCAGCTCAGATTTTCCTCTTGAGCAATGCTTGATACAGTAAATCCTAATGTCTCTGGTGACCTTGGAATTTAGCTTTAGTGCAATCACCAGGTGAGCATGAATATGAATTAATATCAAAATCTAACGGGCTGATTGTCATGGGATTTACTGAACCATGATTCCAAGATGAGATGCCGAGCATTTCCCGCAGTGTTTTATAGCAGACAGAAGCCTGATCCTTAACCTGAAGCAAACACCACCTCTGCTAACATCATATATTATTATATGTACATACTATATTGTAATACATATTATATTACATGCATATTTTTCTTTTTTTTTAATGAAATAAGGCATTCATCTTTTAAGGGAAAAGCTATTTCTCACTGCACTTTACATACACTTCATGAGAGTGGCTGTTGTTTGAGTCATCTTCTAACTAAATTGAGAAAATATACATCAGGATCTGGTTGATCCGCCTCCATCACTAAACAGTTTCCTGGATTCTCTCCACTCTAGTCATTACAAAACGTCTTATCTTGCCACATTTAGACAAAATTATCCACCTCTTCTTTAAGACAACTAATAGCCTGAGTCCCATTAAATTCGTTGTGGATGTTAATGGTTCCTAGACGATGATTCAAGCATCCACAAACAGAGCTGTGTGTGCAATAACTTTTTAGAGGCCAAATTCCAGACTGGAAGAAACATTATGAACTTAAGTTCAGAGACTCTGAATGGTCACAGTGTTAACCCCTACTCCCAAAAGTTGCTTAGAGGTCACAAAGACTCTTCTTAAGACAAGATTTCTGTCATTCATGTGGTTCAGTCAGTCAATCAAGACACTATAGGAAGAGGAGGACTCTATAGCACTCATAGAGTATGTATGGATCCAGAAGTCAGAAGCTCTTTAGGTTAAACAGCTTTTATCTGAGTGAATGAGCCACTGTGTTTGAAAACCTCATCCATTATCAACTGATAGATGCAATATATTACATAATGTAATAGGCTGAGTGTCATGACATTTACTGAGTACATTCGAGCTCTAACGTGGAGAAGCCTTTTGATTTGGTTGTTTCCACAGCCCGTACAATGACCTTGTTCAGTCTGTTCATCACGTTTGCATTATGGGGTGAAATGAATAATGCAGTCTGCATGCGCTGTGTGAGCTTTAGATATGCAAACATAATTGTATGACTATGAAAACTTCAAGCTTAAATGCATAACTTGTGTCACCCTGGCGATAAGGGGTTATTGGACAGCTGTGGAAGGTTGTGCAGAAATGGGAGCGGACTTTTAATTTGTTAGCCATTAGCAAGGGTAAGGTGATAGGCTTGATAGGACAGGTGTGGTAGGCCACACCCTCTTGCAATGTCATTGGCTAATGGAATCAAAATCTGCAAAGTGATGAATTAATTTTTTTTTTAATCTATTAACAACATATGACACAAAAAGATTTGTTTACAGGCATTTTCTTGGCTAAATGGTAATCAGGCCAAAACATGTATTTTTCAAAAATATTTTCAAAATAAAAGACATCACATGTACATTGGTGTGTAAATTGGTGTTGTTGTGTTGGAGTGTTGTACTAGCTTCTAAGTTTAATCATAATTACAATGCAAGGGGCTAAAATGAAAATTATTCAGCAAGGCCAGTTTAAGTAAAAGATGAAAGCCTGTGAAGTCTTATCAGATGCCAAAACACTGCACAGAGGTTGGTAATAGGGTGAGGAAGGCTTTTACAATTCTGGAGACTTATCATGGCCGGAGGATGATTTTGGTGGGAGTCTGAATTAAATGAGGGAACTCCAGTTTTTCATGCAGAGCTAATATAAGCATGAAAATGGCCTTTGTCTTCAGAGTTCGGCAGGTGGAGCACTTAAAAGCTGAACCAGTTTCCCAGTAGCACCGGGTCAGTCGCAAATATCTCTCTTCATGTCTCTCTCATGTAGGCTTCATGGGAACCCCACAAAAATGTTTTAGCAGAATAACAGCCAGCGCCCAAATAAATGGGTTCCCCGCTGCTTCAACAGCCTTCTTTATGGCTTGTTAGCGATTGCGGTTATTCTAGCATTCACTGTGCTGTCGACGTGGTAAAACAGTGAGGTTATTGAGTGATAGTGCTTCAGACAGGCATAGATTGGATGGCAGGTGTCGACAGGGAAGCTCTGTCACTTTGCATTGTGGTGTCTGTGAGCCCGTGTGTGTGTCAAACGGTGGATCTATAATAGGAACTGCAAACATGTGACATCTGCAGTGACTCAGCAAGCAAGCCTATATTTGACCTTGAATCTTTTCAACTGATGCTGCAGCAAAAGAGTTTGACATTAAAATGAAAACCACAATGGACTGACGCGTTTCGTTTTGCATAGCCGGAGTCCAGGAGTCAACATTTGTATCCCTTCAAAACAGGCGGCATCTACAATAACAGCTATTATTCATGTTCCTTGACAAGCAAAATAGAAACCTGTCGCATTTATCAAATCAGGTTCAAAGAAGCTGCATTTGATGGGCTTACTTGTTACATAAAGGGTATTGAAATTTAACATTTCAACACGGTGAAATTTCAAACAAAAGACTGTCTCGTAGTTGGCTGTTGAGTTTTTCACATGAATAAACCCAAGCATGCACACATATGTACACACACCCACATACACACACACACACACACACACTCACTCACACACACATGCATACAGATATAGAGTACTCTTAGACTCTAGAGACTTCTTGACTGAATCCACAATTCACTCAATACATTGTGGAAGGGCTGAATGTTAACTGCCTCTCCTTTGCTGGAAAAAGGTTCGCTGACAATAGATGGGCCTTGGAGTTAAATATCAGAAAGGTCAGAATGTGGAAAGGGACTTAGTGAAATGTGAAATGTTGCAGCCTTGACAATTTAGAGCAGTTATATTCAGTCTCTAATCCTCAGGTGGCCATTTTTCTCTTTCAGAGTGCCTGGATCTGTCTCTCCTCCTGTCTTCCTGCTCTCCACGTCTTTCTCTCCCTGTCTATCTCCATCTCTCTCGATCTGTCTCCCAGTGTAGAGGTTAAGGAACAGCTTGGGAGGGACACATGAGAGAGAATGATGGAGAATGCAGCTAAAAGGTTAAGGAGGCTGTAATCCTGCAGTAAAGGACAGCCAAAACTCACACTGCGCTTCAGCTGTTCCCAAAATAAAATAAAAAAAATAAAAAAACAAATAAAAGGGAGCCAAGTTGTCTCTTTGCCTGTCCACAGCTCAATAATGGAATGAGACATGTTTAACAGAGACCACAGGCTTCACACTGGGGTCTCTTACCTCTAAATGAACCATTTATTCCCTATATTAAGTGAAAAAGCCTACACTGCACAAATATCTAACAAAAACAATCAAGACTCACCAGGCTTTAAGCTTCTTAAGCATCTGTCAGACACAACAGTTATTTAAATAAGTGCTGCACCACAGTTGAATATGCATCATTACTGATTACAGTCATTTCAAAGCCTTTGAAAGCCAGAACAATGCAGGTATGCAGCCTTTAATACTTAAACTAGCAGAACTATTTCAAGGATTGAAATATTTAACACGTAAAATTTAGACTGACAATAATCTACAGAGACGTTTAAAGGTATCCTGTGGATGTGTAGCAAGGCTTTATGAGTGGGTTGTTTGCACCACGCAAGTGCACGAGGACGCACATCCTGCTGCTGGTTTAACATTATTCTACTTAGTCCACTAATAACACAGACCTTGTCAAACCTCAAGGACACAAGAAATGCCTTTTGGTAAGAACTACTCAATTTAGACATGTTTGCAAAAAAACTCCACAGGGCTCCTATAACCTCTTCACCCCTACCAAGTGCACTAACAAGTGTATCATCACAAATGCATTATGTGTGACAAAGCACTGTTTAAAACCACAGATTGAAAAGCCTAATGTTTTTTTTGTTTTTTTTTTAAGATACCAAATATGTCAAGCTGGATTTGGAGAAAAAGTATATAAAATAATACATATCATGGTGCAGCCATGAAAACATGGGTGTGAATAAGTCACTCCACTTTAGGCAAAACTTAAGGGGCTCAGGAGGATAGGAACAAACTAAAAAGATACTAAATGCAACAAATTGTGTTTTTCCCTTTAAATGGGCTTTAGGACTGCACAGGCTGTGTCCTCTGTTTCTTTTTAGATCGGGATAAACAAAGAACAGAACAGAGATATTGAGCCTTGGATTGACTGTGGAAGCTGGACAGCACAACAGCAGGAGGCCTCTGAATAGAAACTTCCTGCTTAGGTCGCGTCCTGCATCTCAACTCAGTGGGACTGGATCCGCCGCTGGCTGGCCGCAGCCTTTGCTCACCGGGGTCATCAACTGACCCAGATAGATAATCACAGAAGATCATAGAAGTAATTTTCCATCAAACAAAGGGGGACATCTGCTCTGTTTTCAAATCGCACAAGCCAATATTTGCTCTTGTCTTCTTGGAAAGTTTTTGCCCTGTCTGCTTGGCGTACAGATTTCCTCGGCAGCACTCAGGGAGCAGCCCCTCCTTCCCCGAGGCAGGGTTGAGTCGGCCAACCAATGGGATTACCATGGTGTGTTACTGTCTGCCATGGCCCAGACGCAGTCTAACCAGGATTGGGGCTTTTTTGCAGTTTTCACAGCTCTCTAGCATCTGGAGGTCATCTGGTAAGAAGAAAAAATGACCAGTGTTTCTGCTGGGGTAGTTAATCTACAGGTTTGGCAACTGATCGGGCTGTTCACTGCTGGCACCGGGCTGCATAACACATGGCAGCCTGCTGCCTGTGAGGGCTGCATAGGAATGATAGCTGAGTGGTCCAAATCAAGCCAAAACGTACAACAGATTTCGCTGCACTTATCGCAAATAGACTCATGATGAGGAATGAATTTAGGAGTCAGGAAGGTTGATCTCAGAGTGTCTCTCAGAAGCGATGTTATTCAGAGACCAGTGTGAAGGACTCTAAGGACAGGTTTTACAAGCAGGTTACAAGCCGCAAAAGAGACATGCTGTAAAAGCCCCGTAGAAAATAATGTGCATATTATATAAACAGGCAGCATGCAGCACAGTGAGTGCACCTTATCACCACAACTCTCATCAAAAGCCTGTGATTTTATAGATATCTTTTAAAGTTTGTCAATCAATTTAATAATGTAAACCGCTTTTAAAGATAAAGATTGACCTCATCAGGGTTTGTCCTCACAAAATTGACCCATCTCTAGCCAATCTAGCACTCTGGGGCTGAACAGTGCTTAGCTGTGTCCCTGCACATCATTACCTCTCTCTTCACTCCATTCACTCTGACTCGGAGCAGAGAAAAAAATGACTGAGTGATGACTGAAGGCTCCAGTGTCTCTAACTCTGTCACTGCTCTGTGCTATGTGTGCACACTATAAGGCCACTCCAGATAGAGCTGTGGGCTACGGTGCTGATCCTGCACATTAGATCACCTCCACATGACCTCGGCCGCTACCCGCTCTGACACTTTGGACATGCGGTGCTGCGCTAGCCTTGCAAAAAGAATTACATTTTAGTTTTGGTTTCTGAACACAGACCAAAGCTTGTGTGATTTGGTACTGTCAGAATTAGCTGCACAACAACACAAGCTCTAAAACAAAACCAGCCATACAGAAAAAAGAGGAACCTCTGCTATAATTTTGTCTTGATTTTTTTTTTGAATGAGTCTGTCTTTGATCTTTTGTCAGGACGCGGCGCGACTGTGTGGTTTAAGGTCTGTGAGGCTTTCCTCCTGTTTAATGGAGGGAAATGAGACACATCTTTGATATCAGTGCATCACATGGTTTCCCTGCACAATGCCCAGTAGGATGCTAATAGCACAGGGTCTATAGGAGAGACTTTCTCAGTCGTGAGATGCGTATTAATCCTTTAAATCCCACACACTATAAATATTTTCTTACTACCACTCTTCTAACTTGAAGATTGTCCTCTATATTTACACATGCGTTACACTGCCCTAATTATATACTAACATCTTGCCCATATGTGATGTATTTTACAACGTTCATGAGTGACATGTTTTTCCCACTTGATCGACATCACCATTGCAACAAAGGTGCTTGATGCTAGGTAAGAGGGCCATTTACTTTGTTCTTGCCACAACTGCATACTGTTGCTTAGCAACAATCACACAACCATTTCATCACGAGTCAAATACCATACTTTTTTTTTTCTGTTTATTGTTATTAATTGATCACTCTTTCTTCCAGAGGAACAACATCCATAGAGATACAGGCTCTAAAATTGGTAGTGGAGGTGTTATTTGTACTGAGTATGCACAGTGTGTATGACTCTGCTGCATTATACAGGTCTGTATTGAAAAATTCTTTGCAAATTTCTAAGTAAAAAACATACAACCAAATTAGTATTTACAACTCAATGGGACAGATCTAACTATGGAAATGACACCAATTAAAATCTTTAATGAGGGAACTGATGAACTGAACTGTTTCCCAATTCACTCTGAATTTGTCAAACACGACTTTAACTTCCTTGTTAGAAACATTTAACCAAAACCAAAGTATACTTCAGAGGTTGCTTTCTACATTGCCTAAGAAGGATAAATTATGCTTCATTTGCACTGCTAATTCAACATAAGCCAAGATTAGCAGAAGCAGTTTAAAAAAAAAAAGGTGCAATTGAAATAAAAACAGTTTCCAGCAAGACTGAAAATTACAACCTTCATGTTTATATCAGCAGAGGAACTACGCAACAATCACCTCTCTGCACAATAATGTGTCACAAAACCAACATATGAAACTTATGATAAACCATTTTCTCATTACCAAACATGGGGAAGATAATTGAAAAATTCCAAGTGGAAGGGGAATATTAAAAAGATATCTCTGTGTATATTCCACAACTGGGACTAATTCAGAAGCAGAAGTGCCTGGAGGGCCAGTCTGTCTCTGACAAAATTGGTTTACCAAAGCAGAATGTACGAGTGCACAGAGTGAGGCCAATAGCTGCCTCCTGCCTCCGTGGAAATCAACAGCAGAGGTCTCCCAGCTGAAACTGAATCTTTACTGTTGAGATATGCTCAGGATCACAGTCTTAAGGCTACCCAGACTGTCCTCCAGTGCCTTCCGGCAGGCTTAGGAAATTAGCCCTCTGTTGTTACCAGCAGTGAGACTTTAGCTGTTGCTAATGAAATTGGACTGTCTTCCTCCTTCGCAGTGTGTTTGAGCGTTTGCCACATGGATAGATAAAAGCTGTCATGCCAATAAAATACCCCACCAACCCCCTATTTAAACAATTCTGAATAATAAATTTAAGAGAAAGGTGGCCCTCCACTTTTTAGTTTAAATTTAATCAACGGCTGAGGCTCCAACGCTTTCAGGTGTCGTGTTTGACAAATACTTCCAATAAGCTTGTGTCTTAAGTGCTGTCAGAGCAGTCTGAAACATGACTAAAGTTCTCTGCATACCAAGTTAAATTTTATGTTCTACTATTTCAAAGCAGCACTCATGCCTCTGATTTAATCAACAGTTGTATTTCAATTCAAAATCTTACATTTAAACATGAACAAGCCATACAATAAAGCAAACAATATAAATAATTCAAACACATGTTATTCTTAGACATTGTGATTGTATTGTTTTACAAAGCCGCATCATTTATTTAGGGACCTGCATTTTCACTCCTTGACACTCACTCTCCAAGTAAAATCACACTACAGCACACACACACACTCACACACACACACACACACACACACACACACAACACAACCACTCACTCACTCATCTCTCACACTCGTGTCAAGGTTGATCTGAGTCACAAGTCCCACGTTCATCCCAATTAGCACATTGATTTGGGAGTTGATAGGTGGTGATATTGGCGGCTTTGGGAGGATGCACCCATCGCTCTCCCCACTCTTTCACTCTTTCAATTCCTCTCTTTCGTTCCGTGTTGGCTTTTTTCGTTTCTTTTTTTTCTTTCGTTTTTTTTTTTTTTTTTTTTTTTTTTTTTACATACCTCCTTTTCTACACATTTTCTTGTTGGGTTTCCTGGCACATTCCTTGGATATTCTTTTGACTGTAAAATGAATGGAAAAACTACAAAATAACAGAGAGCTCTGGAAAAGATCGCATGTGACATGCAACAACTCAGACTGAGTCAGACCCCCTCTTCACCCTCTTTCCCGCCTCCTCCCCACCCTCCCAGTCATCATCAACAACAAGAACAACAGAGGACCTGTTGAGAAAGTAACTGGGGTGTTGCTGCAGAAATATTCCAAAATGGTGGAATGAATTTGCTGCATCCTGGGACACAGGAAGCCCATATTCACATGCACTTCTATTTAAGACCCATTACAGCCACACAGAAGGCAGAGAGGCTACAGTTCCAAAGTTTTGAAGTTCACATTCGTATTTGATAAGTGGAAATGTTATTTGATGTTGCCCATTTCATTCTCAGGGCACTTAACATTTCAAGCCCATTTTCCTGTGTGGGTCTCCTTCAAGTGGTGAAATAATGGGGGCCATTTAAGAGAGTCAACATCTAGAAATCTAAAAATAAAACTCTTTAGTACTTTTAGTCGTGGTAGAGCCAAATCTATGTTTGCCTTTTGCACAAAACCTGTTCCCGTATTCAGCCTCGTGCAAGGACAAACCGGATAAAGCCAGGAGAGTAAAGGGTCTTACATAGGTCAGGCTGATGCCACAGGCCTCTCGTGTACCAGACAGAATATTTCACCAACCCTACAGTAGATCATTCACTTATGAAGCAGGCTACTAATCACTAATGGCTAATATCCCCAGAACAGTCAAGACAGTGAGGGTAGGAAGGTGCACCAATTCTGTTTCTTGATTGATTAGATTTCTTTCTTTTTTTTTTCTTTCTTATTTTTTTTTTATATTCAGTCATATTAATAAGTCATTTAGTCATCAAAAGAGGAACCTCTAACAGTGGCATGGAAGGGGAGAGTTGATGAAAAGACTAAATGAAAGATCAAGTCAAGATGGCAGGTTGAGATGATGGACACGGACACAGCATGCGCCAGACAACAGGTCATGCTTCGCGCAAAATACAGAGGTGACACAAAATCTTAGAGAAAAGACAGAAAGAGAAGGAGGCAGAGACAGAGGAGAGGAGAGGAGAGGAGGAGAGGAGAGGTTTGGTTTCGTCCTGGATACTCGACACACTCACCATCCTCTGTTGGAACATAGATGTTTAGATAAAGACAATCCTCATGTTGATCCTGTATATACGTGGTAACTATATCCAGGTTGAAGGTGAACCATATTGGCATCATGATCTCTGGCACAGCATTGTGAATATTTTGGGGGCAGACGGGTGCAAAGTGGGTGGCGTTCTTGATCCCTGACCAGGACGAAGGAGGTTCGGGGGGCATGAAGCGTTTTTCTCCCACCGGGGAGGCGGCATATGGAACCCCCAGGTACTGATCCACCGGCCCCAGAATCTCACTAGGCAGTGGCACCCTCACCCCTCGGAGTTTCCCATACTGCGTGTTTACAGTTGGGTGGTAGTTCTGACCTCTGACGGCCGTGAAGCACCAGCAAAAACTTAACACCCACAAGGACACGCTGAAATTGGTGCAACTGTGGGCACCGTTCCAGTTCTGCGAGGGGAGACGACTTCTCCTTGGAGAAAACCACATGGTCCTTGTGAGCGAGTGCAACTGCAAGTGACCAACATACAAGCCGGGGCACCCCCTCAGCAAACACACAGGCTTCCCGCTCAGCCCTGCAGTCCAGCCACCTGAGGGACAGTCATCAGCTGTGGTACTGGAGCCCGCCGGCTTACAGACGAGGAGAAACAGTCACAGTTATGCAGTTCCTCTCCGCAGCGAGGTCCTTATTCACTGTCCTCTTTCCGCTCGTCAGATCTTCTAGCCCGTGCTGCAACAGGAGGGGACAGGAAAATTAATGACAGTTCCCTGACAGCACACCAGTTTACCCCCACTTTTATTCAGTCATTTTTATTGACTTGTGGAGTCCTTTTCTGACATGACATAAAACAGCTCACATAAACATGACAGAACTCTTAGTGCTATCATCAATCCACATAATCAAGAAGCTGCCTTTGACTTGGATATTGAAATGAACTGTTGGGCAACTTGTCAAGATGTGCCTAATGATGCTAATAGGACAATTGGAATATGAAAAGCATCAACTGTCAGCAGGTAATTACGCTCTACTTCAAAGGCCACTGTTTACATTAATAGTTAAAGAAAAGCAATACTGAGAGGAAAAGCACTGCTTCTACGGCAGCAGGAGTCACACACGAGAACATAATAACATGATAAAAGTTTAATGTGCTGCTTAATATCATGCAGCATTTTCCCTACATCTCCCTTTGGTAGAGATATGACCACATTTCAAATTCCTTCTTTGCTCTTACAAGAGGTCACTTTCTGAGATGAACAGATGAAGGGGCAGAGGAGGATGTAGCTACAGGCAGCGCGGGTGCCTCCGGTGACAGCGCTGTAAATGCTAATCACCAGTCCCAGGGTGAACCAGTGGTGCTAGCGACAACACCTTCCCACACTGCCTGATCAATTTTCAATTTCTGTGGCTTAGGGTCCCCCTCAGCCTTGCGCGCCTACTGCAGAGATAGCTCTAATAACAATGGAGAAGAAAAGCCAGCATTTAGAGGAGGATATTGCAATCCAAAATGACTGTGTAAATGATTTATAATGTATCAGCAGCCGTTGGAGGGCCACTAACCACTGAGAGAAAGCAATCCTGATGTTCCTGGAGGTGCTGTTATCGCTAGGCGGCTATTCCCATCTGCTACAGCCGTGGATCAGCAGGGAGCATATATACACATTTTGTAAATACTGCAGACGAGCCCACCTTTGCCAGTCAGTGTGTGTAAATGGGAACGTGTGTGGTGGACGATTCTGCTCAGGGACTCATACTGAGCACCTGCTAAGTGATAATACATGAAAAGCCATCCATATCCAATCTGGGGACTAAAAGGCATGCATTGCTGGGGGCCAAGGGCTTGCAAAGGCTTCAAAATGCTAGAGAAGTCACACTGACAAAGTCCCTTCCTTCTCACTAGGATGCCTTTTTCAGAGGCAGAAAGTCTAGCACACATTACTGCCATTACTTGTGTTAAAAGACTAGTATAGTATAGTATAGTATAGTGTCAAAAGTATTTAATTTCAGTTTTTTATAAAAGACAAGTACATAGCATCCATCAGTGCTACATACCACAGCAATGACAGCCTCAGCTAGCGTGAAATGCTTAAAGCTGAATGGATCTTTACAAGACTCAATGCAGCCCAACAATAAAACACCTACAAATATCACAACCCACAACCAGTAATACAATACACTCCCAACTACTTCAGTGTAATACAACAGCCCTGCACTATATACTACTATCATGAAGGTTATAATGATCAGTTTTCTTGACACTGGTAGGTATTGATTCAACTTTATGGTTGTTTTAGAGGCTGTAGTTTGAGGGGCAGTTGAATTGTATTGTATTATACTGTCAGGTGTTTCTTTTTTTGGGGGGTGGGGGGCATTTTATGACTTTATTTGGCAGTGGCAGCGAAGATAGCCAGGAAATGCAGGTGGAGAGAGAGTAAAGTTGAATGGGCAGTAAAACCACTCGGATATCACGTCACTCACTGACGAGTGTTGCTGTGTCCACCCTATTTATATCACCCCCTTTATAGTATATCAGTAACTAAATATTATTATAATATTTAGCAAAAACTGATCTTCATATTGTAACCTTTATAAAGGTAAGACATGTTGTAGAACTGTGGTATTGGACTGCATTAGTTTTAACTAGGTGAGTGTAAAAGAACTAAAGAACTAAACCTAATAAAAGGCACCTGATTGCCCCACGCCCTCTTCAAAAACTGTTTCAGCTTGAATTTAAAGTGATCACATTTATGATCCATTATCAGTGTTGGGGAGTAACAGTTACATATTTAAAATGCAGTTACAGTTATAATTTAAAGGTGGTAATGAGAATACAGTTACATTCTTAAAATCAATAGATTACATAAAGGCATTACTTTTTTTTTAATCTGTATTATTCACTCTGAAATTGAAAAGTAGTTAACTCAGTACAATGCTTAGTTTAGGTAAATGCTTGCTGGTCAAAGTTCCTACCTAGCAAGCTGCCTACTTAGCTGAAATGCTAGCCGACTGGTGACTGCAGATCAGCCTGTATTGTTGGTATATTAGCTAGCTTGCTAACCATGTCTAGCTAACAAACAAACCAAGTGAAGACCAGCCAATTTACAAAATGCATTATATACTATATTTTTTGCCAGTTATTTCTATCAAATAACGTATATACTTAATTAAATGTCTGTGAACTTTTAAACAACTACAACCTTTTGGTTTGCAAACTAACTTCCTCACTCTGCACAGAGTTGCAAATTTATATTATTGTTGTTTATATTTTTTTCACCCATTTCATCCTGTGAGAAAACAGAGAAAGTAAAAACAGCCTTTTTTTGCTCCTGGTTATTTTAAGAGGATTAGGCAACAAAGTGAAAACAAAATGTTCTATGGAATTGTAAATTCACATAGTTTTATTTTAATCTTGTTTACTGGATTTCACTCGAAAATAATGCTGAAGAAAATAAAAGGTCAAGGGAAAACTGGGTCTTCATCCTTTTTGCCAAACAAAACATCACCATCAGAGTGACTCATCGTTTCAGTCTACTTCAGGTAGCAATATGGTGTGAATGCCACATTCTTCACAGTGTTACATGCCATCATAATGGAAGATAATGTTGAAGTAATCCAAAAAAATATGTTGCTCTCTTTGAGTAATCTAACAAATTATGTTTAAGGGCATGTAGTCTGTTATCTATAGTGAAATATATCTTAAAGGCAACCCTCCCAACACTGTCCATTATGAATTATGTGAGTGAAGATGTCCACATATTGATCTCCTGAACAGAAAAAGATGTCTGTCGGAAGGAGGTTTGCAAAAGGACACCTTACAATTCCCCGTAGATACCGATACACAGATACATGATTTTCCATAACTGAAGCCATTTCTGTTTAGATCTGAGATCTGAGTACATGACAGCTGAATATATGTGATAACACTAATTCAAGTCGAGATAAAATACATCAGGTCAAACTTTTTAATCAGGACATAGCAAGGACATAGGACAGTGTGATGGAGTGTGTGTGTTTAGAGGACACTCAGCGCGGAGGACTTCATCAGTCTCCCCTCCAACACCATCTCAGAGGTCCTCTCTGCTTTGATCTCTCTACCTGCTGAAGCGCTGCCAAGGGAGCAACAGAGAGAGAGAGAGAGAGATTGCATGAGTTCTCCCTCATCATCCCAGAAATATTGATCGTCTCATCACCGTGGCCTTGCAGCCCGTAATAAATACAACTGGGGTGATGGCGGTAGGGAGGGGAGGAGAGGAGGATGAGAGAAAGAGAGAGAGAAGGGGGGGGGGGGGGGGGGGTGTACTCCACCAAGTACATGCTCTCCTCCCAAACTCTACGGCCACTGATTAATAGGACATGTTAAATTCTGAAGGTCCAGTCCCTATTCATCATTATTCAAAGGCGCTCCATTGCTACAACACGTGAGCCGTCCTCATACAGATCCCATATTTAGAAGGAAATACATAAGACTTTCTTCCTTTTTATTTTGGTCCGAGCCCACAGCCATGTACACTTACTGTAGAAGACCCTTTGTTCTCCTACAGCAGAGAGATCTCTGCATCGCAATAAAAGTCTGAGCACAGAGCCAATGTACTCCTACGCCCCGACATCCCTTAGAGAGAGGCTGAATGGACTCTGATAAAAAAGGAACCAATAAGAGTTCTGAGTAGATGGAGCTTCTGACTCTCCCCACTCTGTTATTATAGTAGCTAGTCTGCAACAAAGGCATTCACAAAGCTGCATTAGTCCTCTAGAACATCTAACTTCAAATGAAGTGAGCCGTCCTGACCTGAGAGAGTGTAATCAGTGATTACAAATGCCTCTAGTGCTGTTACATTATAACCACGGCTGAATGCGCCATTATAGAAATGATAAGAGACAGGCAACAAGACGGGAAACAGAAGACAGAAACCTATGTACTCGGGCAGTTACCTCAGCTGAACTCATTAAAATGTGAGAGGCAAAGGCAAAAACTTAATTTAGTGTCCTCGCCTTCCATTTGTGCACCAGAAAGACACCAGTCCACATCAGTGCAAAGACTCCATTTTGAGACAAGCTCAACTCATGATAGGCTCACTCTCTGGCCTCTGTGTCAATACTGCAGAAAATACAGTATATCTGTAAATTGTCTGCTTACACGTGTTTATTTCAAATTGGCAAACACGGATTTCAGCACACAGCAAGATCAATAATGAATGTACACACAAACTGAACGTCTTCCCTCGCAGGCACACTCCTTATATAAGCTCCTGGGCTTGACAAACAACAGCACGCCATATTAAATCAAGGAGATTGGCATGTTTCAGAAACAACATTCGCAAAGTGTCAAAACCAAACCGAGGCTTCATAAGGCTCCTGCTGGGAACCAGTGCTAGTGTAACAGTGAGGGACGGGGGCCTCCTCTTCCTTTTCTTTGCCTTTTTCGTCAAGACTCAGAGCGTGTGCAGTCATTATTACTTCGGAGATTTGGCATTAAATCAAGGACAAAGACGCAGCACATTCGGACTGCTAATCACCACGGTGATGCTGACATATTTTTAAAGAAGCAAAAAGGGAGATGGTGAGGAGTGAGGAGTGGCGCCGCTGCTGCTGCAGCTGCCTTCTAAGCTGCGTCTCCAGCCCTTCTCCTGGCTGCTTCGATAAAGGCTGCCATGAGTGTCATTACCAGCCGAAGCGGCCGAGGAAACATGGAAAGGTGAGCTTGGCAGGCCAAATAAAGACAGATTCCAGGTGAC